TAGTGGTTCTAGTGATCGGTCATACACAAAATCGTGTTTTCTGTTCGGCCAATCCTCCCCTTTCTAATTGTTTCTATTTTGTTGAACTTGCTCTCTTCATGATGCTGAATGTTCTGTTCGTATTGCTCCAGTTACTGTATTATGCTCATATTTTTAAAAATTAAGGAGTAATTAAAGTAAACCGCTACTAATATTTTGTAACGAAATTACATTACAAATTACTTAAAAAAAGGTAACGTGGGGATTAGAAAATTACTTGAAAAAGTAACGGATTAAAAGTAATCTGTTACTTGTAACGGTTTACTTCCAAAGTCTGATCTCACCACACATGAGCGTGCATGCGTCGGGCTTCACCGACTTGCACCGGAGCGCTACGAGCAGTGGCTGACCTGTTGGAGGGTCAGCGCAATAGGTACGGAATTCATTCTCAGGATTATTACAGATCGACCTTCTTTGTCTTCATCGCAGATTAATCTGTAATAATAATTAAAAACAAGAAACAGCTAAAAAAAATGTTAAGAAACAAAGTAACACGGGTTTTTATTTTTTTAATAAATACCGTAGTCCTTGTGCAGCTGTCGAATGAACGAACAGCGAACTTTGATTTAACTCGAGTTCCAACTCCGCTGAAGAGCAGTGTCACATTCAAAGCCCAAGTGTAGGCTTGCAGAAAATTTCTCACTGGTTGTTTTTGTAGTTTATGATATTAGAGTTGTGAGTTTGGCAGGTTCATAAAACTTGGGGGACGCCTTTTTATTGGTGTAGCGGATATGCTGCCTTTTGCTGGCATTTTGCAGAAATTATATTTACAGGCCGTTTGAAGTACCGAGTGTAGAACGGGGATGGGAGGGAGGCTTTATCGGTAAAAAAGATTTTTCAAACATTTTTAGTACCAGTTTTAAATGGGCGCCGCTCTGACCAGAGCCTTATTTATAAAACAAGAAGGCTATCTGTTCCTTGTACATCCTATTTATTTTTAGCACAAAATGTGATAAGTAATATGCTCCAGTATCAAAGAGGAACTGGCAATCATTATCACATACAAACACATTTTGATATACAATTACTTCTTTTTTTTTTCATTTGCATCTGTTATAAAAACGTCAGCGGCTGCCCCACACAAATATTTTGTGTATTAATTGAAACTGGTTAAACTTGTGGGAAGTTCACCGGCTTAATTAGCATGCCAAACTGGGCATGCTAAGGCAATAACTCAGCTTGAAGCTCGGACCAGATCAACCAGCATGGCCAGTATGGCCATATCAACCAGTTTGCCCAGCTTAAAACAGCTTGATTGCCTCTTAAACCAGCTTGACTATCACACTCCAAGCCTGAATCTGGGACCAGATCAATCAGCATGACCACTATGACCAGATCAACCACCATGCCAAACTGGGCAGGCTGAAACAATAATCGAGCTTGAAGCTGGTACCAGCTTTAGCTGCTTTTAGAGCGCAGCTCTTAGGCGCCTGTTTCCGGCTTGAGCGGCGTCGCCGTCGGTGTAACCGCGCGGTGCATTATGGGTAAATTTCCCCGCTAAACAGCAGAAAAATTTCCCCGCTAAATCTAGCGGAAAAAATTTCCCCGCTAAATCTAGCGGAAAAAATTTCCCCGCTAAATTTAGCGGAAAATTTTCCCCGCTAAATCTAGCGGAAAAAATTTCCCCGCTAAATCTAGCGGAAAAATTTTGGTCACGTGACCCGGGGAGTCACGTGACACCCCGAGATCACGTGACTTCTGAGGGGGGCACGTGTTTACCCCCACGTGACTCCACCAAGGTCACGTGCCCTCGGGGGGTCACGTGACCCCCCCCCCCCCCCCGAGAACACGTGGCCCTCAGTACCCTCCCCTCCTCCTCCTCAAGAGCTGCGCTCCAATTCGGCGTTACAGGGAGTGGTAAACGGCTTTCACTTTTTTCAATGGGGTGCTACAAAAGGTTCAAATGCTGCTTCCATCACGGTGAGTTGTATATGGCAAGGAAATAATTTTTCATTGTCTCAGTAAGACTAAAGATATTTACCTATATTGCTGGATGAGGATTTACCTATATTTACCTAGAAATGCTGGATGTGGATATCAGGGATTGTGAACCTATCGTGACGTAGACAATTATAAAATACATGCCGACTACTATGCCAAGCTCGCCTGTCTCCCGACATGCATTTTTTAATTAAAATAGATGATTTCCACAAGCCTTTCTCTGAAGTGGGCCTTTTCTATATAAATAGCCCTATTGAAAAGGAAAAAAAAAGTACAGTTTAAGCTGGTCGCAGCTTCAAGCAGAGTTATTGCACCAGCGTCCCCCCTTTGGCATGCTGGTCATGCTGGTTGATCTGGACTTAGCTTCAAGCTGGGTTATTTCCCCAGCATGCCCAGTTTGCGATGCTGGTTGAACTGGTCACGCTGGTTAAGCTGGTGGACTTCCCCACCAGTTTTACCAGTTTAAATTAACACAAAATAAACAAGCCAAACTCTCCAGAAAAGTGAACTCGGCATCCAATTTATTAATTTCGTACTCATGGCCTGCTCAGATGTGTTCAGATTCTACAGATCCTCGGCGCTGACACAGTACTAAGCGACGCACAGACAGTGGTGCTGGGTGGAAAACAAACTATGTTATCAAAATTAGATTGCTTATCTAACAACACGAAAAATGCTAGACACACGCCAAAAACAGGCAATAAGAATAAAAATACTACACGGATGAGAGAAGTGAGCCTGGGTTCATCCACTGATGAGGGCAAAGCGGCCACATGCGTAGTTGGCAGAGGTGAGGAAATCTGTGTGGCTTGGATAGTATTGGTGATACACCTTGGCACCACTGTCATCTACGAGCACGCACGCGTTCGAAGACAAAAAGCGACGCCTCAGTCAGGGCGTGCGACTCCTTCCTGCCCTGAACGAACTGCCGCTTGCAGTTTCCTCAAAACCCGCTTCACTTGCACCGCCGTTCAACTAGTCTTCTAACAACGCGCACACGTTCCTTCAAACATCTGCCCAAGCTAGCCAAACGTGCCTCAAATTCTTCGTCCCTAACACTGTCTCCCTCTCTTTTCTCGAGAGCAAAGGCAGCTCGCAGCGCCTAAATCACCCGGGAGAGGAAGAAGAACTTGACGTGGTCCCGTCTCAGCCCAAGCCGACGTTGGCGCGCGCGCTCCCAGCAATGTCAGTTGGGCCAGCTCTTGCCGGTCTTGGCGTGCGCGCTCCCAGCAAGACCAGCTTGACCAGCACGATTAGGAGTTCAACCAGCTTCACAAGCTTAACTCCCAGCTTGATCACATATGGCTCCATGGAAGATTAGTTTGACCTGTTAGGCCCAGACTGGCTCCCAGCTACACCAGATTGAATCTAAAACCAAACTTTAGTTAGATCAGGCTGGTTTTTACTTAAACCAGACTGACCAGCTCAAATTATAGCTTGCCCAGCTTAAACCAGCTTGAATGCCTCTTAAACCAGCTTGACTATCACACTCATTAGTTTCATCAGTTTAGTTACCACCTTGACCAGTTAGATATTCTTGCTGGTTTTTTCAATAAGGAGTTGACCTTGATTACAAGATAATGACCATTTTGCCCATTGGTCAACCATGTGTGTCGTTGATTGAGATTGAGGTGTGGAGAATGCCCGCTCGCTTGAAGCTATTTAGTTTCTGCGTGACTGTACGTGCAGCGTATTAGCACGTTCTGAAAAAAAATTGAACACGACAATAAACTTTGGTTTAAACAAAGCCAAGAGCTTTTATTACCATATTTTGGGGGCTACGAAAGAACGCCAATGCGGCCGCAGAAATGCTAAACCTTCACATTTTATTTTGTATCATCCACTGCAACGGCGTCGATCTCCACTCGAGCGTCCTGATGAGAAATTTAGAGACCACAGATTACCAACTGTTGTTGGATTTGAATGCGCTAGAATACAATGATTTTACTAAGATGCTCCAAAAATACGATGCGTTTTTTATACACACCAGGGAGACTCAATAAGTCACACATGCTAGCTTTAAGACTTAGATGATCTAGGTATCACACGTACATAAGTTTAATCAGCTTTTTTTTTTTTTTTTTTTTTTAGTGCGATCATTAAATAAAAAGGATAAGGAAGCACTGGTTAACGTTTCTAACAAAGTCGAACATAAAAATTAAATGCGAAGACGCTGAATATCAATGCTGCTTATATCACATCTGAGCAGCAGCATCTTCTTATGTTTTAGGTTGTTTTCGCGCTCAGATTAGTCTATAACCCATAAGTGTAGTTTCAAACAAACTGTTGCTTTACCCCCGGCAGAAATTTCACCTGGACCAGTGATCTCGCAGGAAACGGCTCAGAAAAAACTGTGGTGCAAAGGCAAGGGAGAAAATAGTAAAATATGCGTATCAGTAACCATGCAAAGATGAAGACAAATTTGCGAGTAGGCACAAATATATTACTATTTTGAACAAGCACACAAATACGGTGCAGCGCGAAGTATCCTTGTTTGTCTCTTTTTGTTCTCTGCTCGTTTTTCGGCTGCATTTTTATGAAATATTTATTATATGCTTAGGCATGCGCGCCTGCAGGATATAAATCAACAGTGAACGAAAGACAAACGCAAACTACGTACATTCTGAGTAGACTTTGTCCATTGCTTCATTATCCTTCCAGTCGGTGAGATACACAGTTGTTTTAGTGACTGAAAATTAAAAAAAATGAAAACTGACCACTGGGAAATAAGTGATCATCCACCAATCACCAATGTTATTCGAAAACAATTCAGCGGCACCTGTTTTGATCAGGTGAAAACCTACCAGGACAGGAACACAAATATCAAGCGAATCTTTCATTGAAAAGTTTCATAACAAATTATTTTTTTTGTGACAATGAAGATAATCATGCCAAAAATAATTGGAAGATATGGTGTTTTTTGTCTTATGTATTTATAGCTTTGCGTTTATTTTCGCTTTACCCACACGCTATCCTTTTAGTAAAATAAAAGTTGAATGTCATTATGTATTTCAACTCACCGTTTTTCAAGCTCATCCTCCCAGCTTTGAGAGTTTTTTCAAGAGCTGTGAGTGCCTGCATTGCAGAAAAGCATATACGGACATTAGTGACCCTCCGTGTATGAAGGTTTTGTAGGTACGAGTGAAACACCTTAGTAAAATTTTAAACACATGTTTTCATAAGTGTGACTAAGGTCATTTCCATAATCGCACATTAGAAGACGATAGATTTTTGAGGATTCGCTTAATCTGAGAAAAGGGGAGCTAATTTTGCATATTTCTTTTTTATGAAACTACCGTGTTTTTAAATATTAAGAAAGAACAGTGCATGTGCATGACCCGGTGTGGTGGATAACAATTATGTCTTACTTTAGCAATAAAGTTCTAGGCTCTTTCATTAACTCAGCTGCAGTAGAGTAAATAAGCAACGGAAGAACAAAGAGGCATGCATCTCGTTTTACGCGTCTGCACAAATTTTGAAGTATGGTGGAAGAAAAACACTGAAAATACGTCTTTTCGGGTGGCGGTCCTGTGAAGTGTCCTCTAACTGAAACCATACCGATGGACAGCCACCGAATTTTCTTTTGTACTGAGGCTCACTTGGCGTGTTAAAACAAAATGGCAGGCCGGAAGGAAGGCAGCTATTACCGAAGGCTATTCAAGCAACACACATATAAACGCGACCTCTTTTATTTTTTTTTTTTATTTCAGCGAAGTTTTGTATGTACACTCCTTTTCATCTCAGTAATTGCCTGACCGGCAGATAGAGGGCGCTGACGCACTCGCCGCCATTAGGTTGCTTCGATTTGGCTGGATTCGGTTTAAACGGGCATGCGGCCGTCTGGCTGTTTTGTGCAACTTTGCCTCATTTTATGGTACAAATATTTCCTTCGTAGCACAGAACCAATGCAACAGTGGTACTGAGCCACTTTGAGAACTGCGAAGTGGTTTTGAGCCTAAATTGCGGGCTTGTTTACATACACATTTGATATATCTGAATAAGGTCGGGGGCAAAACGACAGTATTGATGTACAAATAATATTACCATCGTCTACGGTCGCACACAATGACGCTAGTTGCCAGAAAAATAAATCAATAAAGATACCAAGATATGGATGTGAAGAAGCAGGTCGACAACTTGATTACGAATATGATAAATTGGGCAGTAGATATTATCTCGCGAGTTTACTACTCACTGCTGGGTTTTCGTATGGACCCCCAGCTTTTAGTGGATTTCGCAGACTAACAAAGTATTGTACAGTGAAGCAGATAATTTACAAAAAAACATTATGGCCTCCACCTGTCTTATAAAAACAATTAAATATTCGAGAAATATTTTATAGGGGAACCTAGGCTGAGTAGAGAATTCATTCAATTGATAAGCTTGCTAATATACTAATTAACAACATTTCATAATCTTAGCCCTAGGAAATAAACTATTAAACTACATTTATACGGACATTTGCTTACAAAGTACTAAATATATCATATACCTATAAGTGACAGGCCCGTCAAATTAAGTTTGACATTTGTCTTACATAAAATTCGCCAAATGAAATAAAGGGCGCATGGGAAGTACCTCGGAGCCGCCTGGGAGGCTCCAAGGCAAAGCGCCGGCCTAGGGATCCCCATGTGGAGGGTTTGAATCCCGGCCGAGGTGCCTGCAATCTGACAAAGGCTTATTGCGGAGAAAACGCCGTGTAACCGAGCTTTCGATTGCACGTTTACCCAGGTAGTCTAAGTTAACCTTCAATGAAAACCCCGATCTACCTCGGAAAGTTTTGTTGACCTCGTACGCTAGCGCCACTTTATGGACCTGTGTTAACAAATCTTCTATTGTTTGAACAAATGCGCTTTGTAGATTTCGCCGTCGCCAGTCACTAAATGTAAACCTCTGCGGAGAACAAGTCTCCTGCTTCTTGCGCGGGAGTTGCGGTCACCTCAGGACGACGCTGGGCTCTGATTGGCCGAATAAAAAAATAGTGGGCAGACCTCAAGGCATCTAACATTGAGCTCTACTCACTATCCTTTCAATCAAAGCCAATCATAGCTCGGCGTCGTTCTGATGTCACCGCAACTTCTGCGAAAGAGGCAGACGACTTGCTCTCCGCCTACTCGCCATCGGCAATGCTGGACTGGGGAAATTTACAGCAGATGTTTTTTCTATACTCGGCGACAACTTTTCTTGGCAATGTAGTGGAAGGTAAGTCCCGCGTCCCCTCTCCCATTTTGAGTGTAGGCAGGCTCTCCTCCTCCCACATTTCCGGGGAGAGGAGGAGAGCCTGCCTACACTCAAAATGGGAGAGGGGACGCGGGACGTACCTTCCACTGCATTGCCAAGAAAAGTTGTCGCGGAGTATAGGTGTCAAATATTGCGGACCCCAGGCACGGGTGAGAGATTGAAAAATGTATGCAAAATTATTGAGCACGTCAAAAAAATATATATATATCGTCGTCATTAGTGCGCATCCGCCGAACCCAAACCGCGTTTTGGAATGACTAATAGAAATGAAACCATTTATTTTATAATCAAAGGTTGTGTGTACGGTAATATAAAACTCACTACTCTGAAGCTGTCTGACGCAGCTTTTACGTGGTCAGTCCGAAATTTTGTGTTAAAATAAATTAGGTGAATTGAACTGTTTACCTAAAGACAATCAATAAATCACTTGACAGACGGCAGAAATGGGACCGAGCACAGTATACAAATTCTTAAACATCACATGTAAACTAATCACCCGAACGTTTATGTAGCAAAACAATGGACACCCTCACTGAGTGTTCAGCGCATGCGTGGAGCTTTCATAACTTTAGTTCACGGGGGGCATCCTGCCGTGCATGCGAGTGCTCGTGCCGTCTCGTGTTTTACACGGGCAGAGCTCCAGCAAGGTCGTCGCACGTGCAGAAGGACTAAAGTTCCCTCGATGCATTGGGGCAGCGGTGGCGTAGTCATACTAGCTGGTGATATTGGTCTATTGAAAACATCGAACACATGTATTTATGATGTTTTCAACAAACAAATCACCTGATGCTGACGTACCATTATTCTTAGCATGAGATCGAATGCAAGTTAGCGTTCGCTGACCATCTCCTCCATGAGTTCTCTCATATAATCACCAGGAACTGTTTTCTATCTGTTATTGTCGTATCTGCGAGTAGCTGATAACAGCAAGCCATGAAGTATGCACTTTTATGTCTGACATCAGAGTGCTGTGCGTCTGCGTCCGGTTTATCTTATTAGTATATATTAAGCCCCGATTTGATGTTACAGACAGACGTTGTTCTGAGGCTGCCAGTGTTGCACCTCGCAATAAATTGCCTTGCCAGATATACGTCTCGGACCCACATGTAACTGTTATAAATTCAAATGACGATAATTTCAGGAAGGTCTCCTTACGCTGAATATTCTTGTCACCTTCCGATTCTCATGCGCGTTCCCAAATATACGCGCTTCTTATTGCTAGTGTACCGCCATTATTAGTCAACAAACCTGAGTTGTCATAAGTAATTGACATCTGAACCCTCATGCTGTCTTATTCATCTACATAAACGATGGGGCTCAGTGCTAACGCTGATTTCTGTGCCACATCCTTCCACGTATTCGGTACGCCGATATTGAAAATAGCCAAATCGTGCTACAAAATTAACTGCAGAAGTTGTGCACATTATGATGTAATGCAATTTGCAGGATACTGGAGACACTTATCACAAGTCGTATTATGTACGCAGCACCTTATATAAACTTGACCAAAACTCAGCACCGCAAAATAGAACTCATGTTCCGCGAGGCCACCAAGACAATAATGGGAGTCCCCAAATATTCACCAAACGAAGTCATTCGTAACGCGGGACTCTTCAACTCCATGAGCGAACGCCTTGACATGTACCGACTGGCACAACAGCAACGGCCCACTACGTCAAATCAGGGGAGGGCCATCCTTCGTACCATAAACTTCAACACGACCCAATTAACAGCCATACCGGTCCAACTCCCGCCTTGGCACTCGCTCCCACGCGTAACGATTTCGCCTATACCGCGTAACATGGACCCATTGCGCCACACGGGCCGGAGAGAGGCGGCCGCCAGACGTCACCGATCCCTTCAACTGACGGCGACGCAAAGCGTTTGCAATGTGAACGCAACTGTCAATCAAGAGAACGCCACCGGAATCACAGCGCTGGAATCTGACTCCGTAGAAAGAACCAAGAAATACACCATGGCCCTGTCTGCAACATCGATGGAAATTCAAGCCACTGTGGGTGAACATAGAACCGACGACGTGACCATCTACTGAGACAGTCAAACTGAACTTCAAGCATATCAGGCGAACAGTCTCCTCCCCCACATCCGAATGCAGCTACATACATATCTGCAAACACACCCAACGCATACTTCCTTTCTGACGTGGGTGCCTGACACCAGAACATCCCCGGGAATGAACGAGCAGACACACTCACCCGAGCTCCATCTCCGGCTCCGGAAAGTTTATGGCCAAGCACGTACGACCGTTATGTGCACCATGAAATTCTACATATAGACAGAAAAAACCTCTTGGCAATCCTGAGGAATAACCTGACCAGATTGCCATCACCATCGCATATTTTGGACGAAAGAACAGCCACCACCACTCGCTGCGCACGAACTCGATCAATATACAATATACATAGACCACCTTCTACATTAAATCGAGGGTCGGACGGGACCACCACAATGCGATTACTGCTGTGAGTACCCGAACAACGAACATGTTTTGTGGCTGCGTACCAGAGCACAGCCTTCCCACAACACCCTGCTCTTTTCTGTAGCTGCACACCTTAGGCCCACCACCTGGGAACAATGGTTTGCCCCATCCTAAAACCCCCATCGGCTGTGGACGCTGCATAACCAGCACAAAAAGACAATTGTCAAGAACGATGATGCATCTGGACCATCAGTTACGTCAGCCCATAGATAGTGTGGGAGCCAGGGGTGAAAGACGAGGCAGAGGGCACGTGACAGGCGGCCGGCGGAGAAGACACGAGCTGGCGCGAGACAGTGCGAGCTGAGCGAGGCTGGTAGCTGGACAAGAACGTTCGAGCCGGGCTACCTGGCCTGGCGAACCCCGGAGCGGTCCACCAGCGAGGTCTGGAGCAAGACCGGTGGAAACGGCGAGCCTTGGCCATATGACCTGGGCTACGACGATCCCGGGGTGGTTCCGCAGCGAGACTCGGGCATTGACAGCCCGGGACAGCCAGCCTACGCAGCGCTGGCGTGGGAAAAGCGATCCGCAGGCCTGGACAAGGACTCCGACTGTGAGCTCTGATCGACGGGCGACAACAAAGGTCGGCGGGCCGGGACAACCGGCTCTCGACGACGGGCAACCGAGTGGTACAGTAAACCCATTCACTGTCTTCTCGTTACAGTGTGTCACTCCCTAGGTGACGGGCGAAGCGCATACCGATCGGGCGGCTATTATTAGTAGAGGGACCTCCATAAAGAACCCCACATTAAAATGGCGCCCAACGTGGAGCCGTTCGGTATGCGTCTACTTCTAGTCGTCCCCAGGGAGTCCTATGGATTCGTTAAGCGGATTGTTCACTAACGCTAACGATGCCCGTTCAGCCAAAGTATGTTGGAATTTTGGTGACTTGTCTCTCAGCAGAGCTCAGCAAGTGTCTCCTCGAATGGAGTACTTAAAGGTCTCGAAGGACGAGGTTGCGGACGCGCATTCTCGGGTACCCCAGAATAGTGGTTGGCAGAAGGTGACGCAGCCGGGGGGAACACGAGGAGCGCGGTTAAGATGTAAGAAAGTCGTCTTCGGAGGCAGAGAGGCACGGCAGGTTCGCTGGAAGGCAGGATAGCGACTGGCAGGAGGGAAAACAGCCAGGACTTATTGCATATTTAGGATTTAGGATTGGAGTGATGCGGTGAGCCAGTAAGCGCTTGTCGAGGCCCGGGGTGCAGATGGGTATTTGTCAGTGGGTGTCGGAAAGATTGCGGGAATTGCGGTCGGCACCGGGAACACTGGCGGACGAGATTGTCAGCGGGTGTCGGGTAAACTGGCGTAAATTGCAGTTGACACCGGGAACCTGGCAGACAAGTTAAGGAGCAGTATGATCTGTAACCGCTGGGCCAAGACGGCTACTTGCTTCGCGTCACTCCAACAACCGACGAAGGGCAGAAGGACGACTCTCCCTTGAAAGGGGTCGTTCCGAGAAAGCTACGAAATGTTTTATAGGATACTTTTTCGGCTTCACTCTGGCCGGTCGTGGCAGTGACAGCAAGACTTTTAATAAGTTGTGTCGCGTCACGACCTGGCCGGGGATGAGGCGGTAGACATTTGAGTGGCTTGTAGTCGTCCAGCTTGCCTTGAGTCATGAACGGTTAGAGCGGGCTTGCTCGCTGAGCTGCCGCTCCCTCCGAGGACCGATCAGTCCCTAGAGCACGTACGCACGTGGACGGAAGGGGACACTGACGCTTACATTGACTAGCACATGGTATAGGTAGCCGTTGCGGAACGCGGGTATAGTATATGGCCATCTCGCCACAGGCTTTGCATCCCTTCGCCTGTTACAAAAAAACGGGCAAGGTTTACACCATCGTTACCTGTTCTGAAGGAAACCCACGCGTTGAGCGACGCAGCTAGTGGTTTTGCCGCACCGCTTGCTCCGAGGTGAGAAGGGAACCCGAGGTATAAAGACGCTAGCGTCGTGTCTTACTTCTATGCTTACTCGGCGAGATACAAACGAGGAGGCTTGCCCGGTTCACATCGCTGACTTGAAAGGATACTACCGTTGTCGCGATGGGGAAGACGTATAACATGAGGTTGCGGCAGGGCACGAGAAATCCCCTGTTCTTGGCGACCCAGGAGGGAGCTCTGGAATGCGGACTTGCTGAGTTAGCCGCATGATACATGAACCCGTCGGCAAGCTATGTGGCGGTAGAGGCTATGGCCACTGCCACAATCTGCGGCAGAGTATTTGTTCGCTGTGTGTTGTTTTAACAGTTTGTTCTGCGCAGAATAGCTTCTTGGAAAGACGGCCATAGACGCTGTAACCCAGGAAGCCTACCGGGAAGGAAGACGGGACCATTTGTTTTCCCAAGTGCTCAGGGTGGCCGACAGTTGGTCGGCCTGACGTACGGTTGAGGCGGGCAGTTCTAAGCCCGCTGTGACCTCTATGCGGAACGGGGCAAGTCCGTCTGCGTCGGCCGGACCAGCTTAGAGCAAGCCCCCTGCTGCATCGCGGTGAGTAGGACAGCGAGCGACAGAGAGGTCGGCATTGTCTGCCGGCTTCGCTAGCCACCACAACCTACGCCGCTTTCGGACGCTGCAACGTGGCCGCTCCGGCAACAGCAACAGCGGCCGCCCATGAAGCCCAGCGGCTCCCTGAGGCCCATGAAGTCCCCCGAAGTCCGGGCCTTGAGGGGGGGAGAGTGTGGGAGCCGGGGGTGAAAGACGAGGCAGAGGGCACGTGACAGGCGGCCGGCGGAGAAGACACGAGCTGGCGCGAGACAGTGCGAGCTGAGCAAGGCTGGTAGCTGGACAAGAACGTTCGAGCCGGGCTACCTGGCCTGACGAACCCCGGAGCGGTCCACCAGCGAGGTCTGGAGCAAGACCGGTAGAAACGGCGAGCCCTGGCCATATGACCTGGGCTACGACGATCCCGGGGTGGTTCCGCAGCGAGACTCGGGCATTGATCGCGCCCGTGACAGCCAGCCTACGCAGCGCTGGCGTGGGAAAAGCGATCCGCAGGCCTGGACAAGGACTCCGACTGTGAGCTCTGATCGACGGGCGACAACAAAGGTCGGTGGGCCGGGACTACCGGCTCTCGACGACGATCAACCGAGTGGTACAGTAAACCCATTCACTGTCGTCTCGTTGCAGTGTGTCGCTCCCTAGGTGACGGGCGAAGCGCATACCGATCGGGCGGCGATTACTAGTAGAGGGACCTCCATAAAGAACCCCACAATAGATAACCCATATTAGGGTGGAATCTCAATATCACGTTTAATTCATTCATTCTTTCCACGCATTCCGTACGGTGACGGTGGAAATAGTAAAATCGTGCTGCAAAATTAACAGAAGAAGTTGTGACCGTTATGATGTAACGCAATTAGGTTCTATATATTAGTATCGAACAACACTTTACGGAGCAAGGCAAGAAAGCGCGGTGAAAGCTACAAAAGTACTAATAAAACGCTTTCGCCAAACCGCGCAGTGAGCGACGAGTTGAAGCAACCAAATGGCAGCCACGTCATGTGATTCCAAGATAGCAGCGCCAATGCGGCTGAGGAAAAAAGGTTTATAGTTTCCTTTAAAACCGCAAGCATAAAACACGCAAAAACTACACCGGTAGACCTCCAGAACCTTTCCTTCTTAGCCAATTACAGGAGTTTCAAGGAACCGGTTCGTGCTCTATAATTGGTGTGCAATTTGCCGATTCAAGTGAACAATGTTCCTTCCACATATTGATATGAACTCTGCAATGGTTTCATAAACCTCCAAAGTATTACCTTTTTTTTTTACTCCACTTTGAGCAATATGTTGAAAATGATATTTTGAAATTACTGAATTTAGAAGAAACAAGCCTACTCCCATAGCTGATTGACACATTTCTCCCCTTCAAAGTGACGGTACTTATGTTCAACAGTTTGAAAATATCTCCTCAATTTTTATGTGATACTGCTTGAATTTAGATGAATTGAAACGAAAGTGGTTGATGTGTTAAAATTGCATGCATCTTCTTTAATGGCAAAAACGTGGGAGTATTTCTAATTGTGACAGGAGGGTTCGTTATTAGTAGAGCGTGGTCGAAAGGGCGTGATCTTAAAGACGCCTTTAACCATCCAAATGTCTTTCTTGCCTGCGCAGGGTTTTGTCACTGTTCACGTCAGTAATTAATTTTAAAAAAAAAGTAGTTAAACAACTTCAAATCATTCGAAGCAGTCATGAAATTACATGCTGTAGATTTTGTGTGAGAGTCGCCGATTTTGTAAGGCCTACCATTTGGGGGCTAGTTTTCTCTTAACGAGAGTATTGCGTGATCCTTCCAGTTACTGCCTAGTTCAATTCATATCTCAGTAATCATGTCACGCGACATGTTAGCACGAAAGCCACCTGTGCTACAAGTTGACATCTTGATAAATTTGTGTGAGCTGGCGTTGACGTGCATACTGTGCAAATCGAGTTGTCATAGTGGTCAAACAGATTCATGAACGAAGTCAACATTTTCAACGAAAGGTCTTCAATTGACGGCGTATGAGGCCTTACGAAGGTGCTAGGTGTGAACAATACCTATGCGTATTTTCGCCAATGTTTTAACAATATCAGTTTTGTACTTAAAAAACAATTTAAGTGCTGAGCGTTTCATTTTTTTGGAGCAGTCACTAATAAAAAATTGCCATCAGTTCATTGCCGGCAAGGCAGCTCTAAATTCTATCGCAATGACCAGTACAGAAGAGGCTGAACAAAAGACATGAACTGAATTATATTTCCATTTTACAAGGTACTAAAATATACACTATGCCGCCGTCTTTGTTACCACCACGACCACTACCGTTATCATCATTATGATGGTCATTGTTATCCTCATCGCCAGAGTAGGGTACTCATAGAGTACCTTAGCCCAGGGTTCCTAGATGCCTTAATTCAGCAGTAACCGTTCACAAACAGGATGATGTCGCGCCTTTATTATCTTTGGTTAATCTTGTGTCTGAATTCAATAGGTTCCACGTACAATATTTTACTTATAATCACAAACTTGTAATAAGAAAAAAACTAAAAAAGAACAAATAAATCGCACTAAAAATGCGTTCGTCACCACTGGCTGTGCATTGTAATACTTCCCTCAAAATTAAGGCACACAAAATAAAAACGTTTTCGTAAAACGTGTCAACTTACCTGCCGTGTCTCGTTAACAATTCCTCCTGGAACTATCAACGCTTTCATCGGGACCTGGCCTACCTTTCCCGCCACGTGCATTACATTGCCGACACGAATGGCGGGTCTGTTGAATAAACAAATGCATCTGATAAGGATCTCCTTCTGCAAGAACATATGCACCCCTTTAGCCCTTATCCCAGAATGTCCATGTAATATAAGTACATACATAAATTACGTAGTTTTATCATCGAACTTCAAAAGTTTATGAGGCACATGAAAATCTCCCTTAACTTATACAGAGATATAACTCAAATAAGACATTGTCGGTGTTGTGTGCCATATTTAAATACAGTTAAATTATCTCTAATCGAATATTTACTAATGACCGGTGCAAAATGTCGCCCCTTAGCCGTATTGGCGGGGCAAATGGACTGGTAACACAGAACGGGCTCTGTTAGCGGGAAGAAACAGTACACATGTGGAGACTGGATGGAGCGAAGCGGCCATGTGTCGATTCGTGCAAGGTAAGCCCTTGAGCGCTTCGTGGATGCCTTACTTGTGGCTGCCATCTCCTGCGGTCGCAGACTAAAAGCAAGTTGCTCAGAGGCTGTTGGGGCGTGCCAGGCAGTATACTCCGTTCACCTTAAGCTGAGACTGCTGCCAAAGGTACAATTAAGCGCGAGCTAGCCCGCAGTCCTGGCTTTCAGACGTGCCGCTCTCGCGAGCGCTGGTTGCGTGGAAGAATATTTGAAGCCGTGACCTAGCGCTCTCGTGCTTGTTGAATTGGCTGCAGTGTCAGGTTAAGAGTGAACGGAGTACGGGAGTATAAAGAGTATTCACTGGGCGCCATATTTGTGGGTGCTGTTTAAAGCGCATGCTCAGAACGAGCCCAGGTTAATAGGCTGCTAAGACCAGTTTTTCCATGCTAAGGTTAAACGAAGTACAGCTGGCCCCAGCTGGAGTCAAAAGAGAACTAAACACTCGGAACTACTTCAACACTTTGAGACAAATGAGTCTGCTTTATTTCTCTGCTTTTTTTTCGCTCTCTCTTGCACCTTTTTTCTGGGGAAGCCCGAAGCGCGCTTGTTTCCCATAGCAGAGCGCCGCTAGAGTCTGAACACATTGCATTTTTCGCCGCCGAGAATGAAACGGAGACACTCTAGGAAAAGGTTCGGCTGGAACTGGTTCCCAATCATTGAGGAGACAAACGCTGCGTCGAAGTTCGGCTGCCACTCGGCCTGTCAACGTTTGTTTGTTGGAACCTTTGAGTTATTATAATGTACGCTAGAGGTTCAAATGGCGCTAGTGTGCTGTTACAAATTTAAGTCACTGGATCTAGAAAAGTAGCGTCATTGCCTTCCCACCTGCTTGCCGGACACAAACAAATACCACTATACGACGACAAAACCTCTCAGGGTCATTTGCTGATCGCTGTCCGTTACCGTTGTGACCGCTATTTTCAACCATTTCCGTAGGGAATTGTAGTAGACCGTTTCCGAAGCCCGCTAAGCACCCGGAAAGCGCTCCGTAATCTGCCACACGACCTTGAACCATGCAGAGAAGGCTGGGGTCGCGCATGCGCAGCTGCGGCGTTTTCTTCACGGATACCGTAGCGGAGGAGAAAAACGATGTACTACAACTCCCTAATGCTTCGAAGCTTCGAAAGGGTCGTTAAATCCAGTCGCACCAAGATGGCTATGGAGCATCATCGTACTAAAAGCGTTCCTCGGCCAATTATTGAGCGTCTTCGGCTCTGCATGCAATAAACTTATCACTGAGGCTTATTTCCCCAGATCTCTTTCATTTATGTTGCTTTTCTTGCGTATTTCAAGGCAGTAAAAGTATTTTTCAATGCCTCCAAGCACTGACGTTGCGTGTGATGGCTGTACAAAAATATAGGGCATCACACGCGGCGTCGAATATTTATTTTTTACAAGTAACGAAAATTAATACAGATAATGAAGCACAGTGTACTCGAACAAAATGGAGTCATTGAGTCCAAAACTCAGCTGTGCGCCGCTATTTGCTTCCCAAAACCTGCACCGTCACGCAATCGGCGCTTCGAAAAATGGCGCTACTTGTAAGAAGCTCTTATATAGGGACCCTAATTGCAATTTGAAGTAGGAAGAAACCAGTCGGAAGTTGACTTCCAATAATGCATTTCTATGGGCAAAAGAGAGTGCCTTTTCTCCCGGCGCGTGAGTATAAAACCAAATATTACGAATGATTTGTTGATACTATGATGGTACCTCTCTCAGTCATGCAGACGAAATAATTGTCTAGTTACGGCGTTTTTATTTTAAATTCATGGCATTAAAACCGGTGATAAAACGGCTTCGTATATATATTTTTGTGCACGGTAGGACACTTTTAGTGTGAACACGGCGTCGGTGCTTTCCAGCATGGGGATATATAAATGCCAAGCGAACGATGAAATGTGGAAAACCAAGAGAGACGGCAAGAACTACGCAGTAACACTGGATGAGTAACCTTATGTACATGCAGACGATCAAAACAAATTGAAGGCCACGAAATATTGTCTGATGTGCAAGGAACAAGTCCCGCTTTATTTTTTCTGCTCGTGAACATGTGCAAAGTTGCGTGTTGTTCTGCCTTCAAAACGTCACCCGCACGATAGAGATATCTGAAAATAGAGAGAAGCCAGAAAACAGGTTCCCGATAAAAGCGGCCCGGTATAGGAAATAATAAAAAGAAACACCTTTCACCTTTTTTTTTATAATCTGTCCAAAACCGTGCCGCTCGGTTTATATCATCATCTTATTCTCGATTTGTTAGCGTCTCGCTCATTAAACAGCACAACTCTATTCACCCCCGGGAAACTCGCCGCCTAATCTCACTACTTTGTCTGCTACATCGTCTGCATTTTAATCCCGGTCAACCAGGCTCATCACTTCTAGAAGCACCGAATAGAGTATCTCATCGTCAAAATAACAGCAAAAGCTTCAAACGCATATTTGGCTCCACAGCCGCATTTAATAACTCAGCACTTCCTAACGCAATCAAGAACTGGAACGGTCTTCCCGAAGCCATCGTCAACATATCTGATAAAAAAAATGTTTCGCAATGCCCTCTCCAATCATTTTTTTCCCCCATGATTCCCCCCTGCATCCTGAAAATTGCTGTTTTGTTGTTCTATTGCCTTTTTCACTCTGTCATTTTTGCGTCAAAGTGAATTTTTGTATTGTCATTATTATTTGTAATCATTTAGTTTGAATCATTGCTTTTTGGGTTCTTGTCGCGCATGCTAGCATTATAACTTCATTTTCACATCCGTTTTCTTTTATCTACATACTTTCGCTTTGCATTTGCTTTCTTTCCCTGTAATCTAAGATTGTTTTTTTCCCCGGAGCGCGCGTGTCTGTGTGTGTGGTTTATTTTTTTTTTATTTTTTTTTTATTGTTGACTTTGTTTCTATTCTTTTGTTCTGATTGATACTTACCCTGAATGTACCCCCCCTCCTGTAATGCCATTAATTGGGCCTTTGAGGTATCATGAATAAATAAATAAATAAATAGCTCACATACTTTAGTCTTTACTATTTTTAGAACGTTTTTAACCGCTCGCAAAGATGCACGACAGGGTCATTTTCATAAATGTGAAGGGATTTGCGTATTAGTAATATATAAGCTTCATCGGAATGCAGTCGAACCGCGAAAGCACTCTACATTTAATTTAATTTTTATTTTGCTTGGAATCGTAGCATGTTTTTACATACCTGCTATGGTACAGATGTACGAAATGTACGAAATTAAGCGTAATTTAACGTCGTTCACTAGTAAAGAACAATCCTGTAACCAAAGCAATTACCTTTTACAATGTTAATAAAGGCATATCCTATTGGAATGACCCCAATTGCAAAAGTTATTCATGTTATTTTTTGGCGAAGGGACAAAATTCATGCACGTTTCCCCATAGGAATGCGCAGGAGCACTGTAAAAGTGCATGGGATGCTGTCGGCTTCAATTTGACTCCCGGAAGTCGCAAAGACGCTAGCTCCAGTTGAACCCCTAACGTACATTTTAATAACTCCATGGTTGGCTCCTAGCTTGGTGTGGTTAGGTGCGAGCCATAAAATACATTGTGTTAGAACACGATTTATGTACCATCGGGGAAAAATGAAATGCGAACAGAGGAGCGCGTGGCTCGCGGTACAGGCTGCGCCGCCTGGAAGTGAGCCAAGGAGCGAGGGTGCGTGGCCTACCGGCCTACTCCGACGTGTTCACGCCCCTCCCTCTGCGCTCCCCAAGCTTCAGCAGTGCGCCCCTTAGTGCGCTGAAAGCTATCACCGCTATCTTTGCTGGCTCAGCGCGTGCGGTGCAAAGAAGCTCGCCGCACTCACCGAGCACGCAAAGATAGCGGTGACAGCTTTCAGCGCACTGAGCGGCGCACTGGCGAAGCTGGGGAAGCGCCAATCGAGGGGCGTGAACGTATCGAAGTAGGCCACGCACCCTCGCCCCTAGGTTCACTTCCAGGCGGCGCAGCCTGTACCGCGAGCCACGCGCTCCTCTGTTCGCATTTCATTTTTCCCCGATGGTACCACTTCCCAGGAAAGGTGTGGTGGACAATCTTGGCCGAGCATCAACTGGATGTGTGTTTTTCATCGTGGTATATGCACATACATATATACATGCCTTACGGTTTTTTTGAATGGGGAATGTGTCATATCGGTGCATAAACGTCTGATCGTAAAACAGCGGAGAACACTGCGGGGGTATTTCTGATTTCATGAAAGGAACGCCAAGGAAACAACGAAATCTTTCCGCCAATTTTGAAAATTGCCCACTCCCCTTTATCTTAAAATATAACTACAGCTTAAGAGGAGGTTGGATGTTCGCAAAACATGAACTAGGCAGTTTTATTTCATTTTGGTTACTAGTATTTATATCAACACCTGATATGTTCAAGTACATAAACTATACAGCGGTGCATGATACCAACTGAACAGCGGAAGTCCGTCGCAGCAGTTCAGCATTGTTTGTACGTATAATCGCGCGACTTTGTACCACAGTCTATTATATTTTCTCACTTGCCCTCTCCAAGTTAAGGTATTGATAATTCTGACTTTTAGCTTGCAATTTTGTGTAGCGCAACACCCAATGGTATTGGTTTAATGTGCTTATCAATAATTTATTTACTTGGAATGTTTATTATACATATTCATGCTGAACGCACTATTGAAGATATTTACGTAATAATTCTTCATTCGCCTAGGTTCGCACCCGAAGTGAAAACCATACACCGCCTTCTTCTGACTGATCTTCTCTTTTCTGTATGAAGTTTCATTGCCATTCAGACTGATTTTGTTTGTAAAAGATGGTGAAGGATCGTTTTCACATTATCTGGGTCGGTCTAGACGAACGTTAGATGAGAAGATAGTCGCCAAGATCAGTAAGGTAGTTAAACATATCTGCTTATTATTTTTAATAATACTTTGTTGGGTTGTATCGCAATTAAAGCTTTAATGTAAGTCATTACGGAGGGCTAAATCAATTTAACACCTCGTGAAAAGGCAAACAGTTTTGATATTTTAACTGTTCTTTTCTCGCGTAGAGACAACCGAAAAAATTGACCACACAAGAATATTGCTAATGCAGCGTGAATCACGCGCATCACGTGGTGCGCGACTACCACGGGCACCACGTGGTAGACGCGCCACACAAGCTTACGCCGGCAGGAGGCTCATCGACAGCAAAACGGGTAGAGATTGGGAAATTGTGTTCTAAATTTATGTTTGTGGTAAGAAGGTATGGCTGAAAAACAGTTTTTTTTTCGTCACCCTCAACCATCGCGCATCGGTTGGAAATAATCAAAATATCGCCGCTAAGAAAACTCACACAAGGGAATTAGTTATTACCCCTGTCGAAGTATAAATTGAAGCGTAAAAATAAACAACGTTTCTTGGATCTTTATTATCTAACATAACTGTTGTTTGAAACTCTAATCCGACGGCCTCTTCACATATGTAGCAGAGCGCTGCCTCAGCGCTACGTATCAATCAGCGCTATAAATAAAGCTGACCTTGCGGATGTAGCGCTAAATTCATGCAACATTCGCGAAAGCACTGACCTACAATGCTCCATGAGCGCTAAGCGAACGCTAAACTACGTTCAAATCATAGCTGTATCAGCGCGGTTACTAGTGTTGATTTGGCGCTGCGATGTATCTATGAACCGGCCTTAATCCCGATAAATACCTATTGATAGTAGTTGTAATAAATCTAGTCGACGACGTAGTATTTTGTAACGTGTACAGGCGCACTCACGTATAAGGGGGACCCTTTGAAGCGTCAAATGCGTTTATCAGTTCTCGGGCTTGCCTTGGAGCTGTTCCAAAAACTCCGTAGGCGAACTGTGGGAGCCAAAATTGCAGGCAATTAACGCCGACGCCGTCCATAAATAAATGAACAGGCACTTACCAAAGTAGCGAGACACGTTGCACGCAGCATAGCGATAGGTTTAATCAGCGGAACGACAACTAACTTTATATACTCTAGTTTGGCCCCGTTGTGACGGGCCAGGAGTGAGAGGAGGGGCCTGCAGGCAGGTGGCCTACTTTATTCCTTCCATTTCTCTATGACTGCGTGAGTAGACGAAGCTCGTATTGACTCTATATTTTTTTTATTCTTAACAGTACTGCAGACACAGAACGGGACGGAGCAGGAGGGATGCATCAACATAGAAAGCTAGACACATGGGTCTACCTGTTTTTGACGTAATTAATAAACAAACGCGCTTTTCATACACCGGTAGAGACAAAGAAATAAAAAAGTGAAGGTACATGTTATGTGACGCGTCATAGTTAAAACAAAAAGACAACAACAAAATCAAACCACAGCAACAATACGTGAGTACATAAAAAAACACAACTAAGCAGTAGCGTACAAATGTAGAAAAATTCGAAACAAATGAGAGTGGCCAGAAAAAATGAACTAAAAACTTAAGCATTGAAAGCAGATGTAGAGTACTAAACGAAACAAAAAGAACCAGCGCAGCGCTTGGGTTGGCTAAAGTAGCGGCGTATGATTCACTTGAGCAGCGTATAGAGTTACTGTAATGTATACACCCGGCTTATGCAGTTACTCTAGCCTAGAGTAACCACATGGCTCCGCAATTTGGTAAATCTAGTAATTACTATAGAGTCAGTGATCTCTGCGGGCCCACGCATTTGCATACCTATGCCCCAACCTTGCTCAAAATGTAAGCTTCTATGACACTTAAGGTTTACCACGCCGTCTCTAACATTTGCTCAAAATATAGGCTTCTAATATACTTAAGGTTTACCACGATGTGCTAATATTCAATAGTATATTGCACGTATTTCTCTTTTGAAGACATGCTTCAGAACACCGCGCCGACATTTCGCTTGGGCATACCGACATTGCAAGCAACCATCAAATTCACGCACCAGAGCCTTTGGTGTCGGCTCTAGACTCCGTATATGCAAGTATGTGATTGGTGAACTGGTTCTAACCCATCACATATTTGGACCAGACTGAGTTTAAACATATGAGTAGTGTTCAAGAGGAAATAAACAAGCAAACATACTTCGTCACTTTAATCTCATGCAAAGTTTGTGTGCCTCTTTTTTTGTGCAAGTGCCACATGTTCAGGCAAGGGAAGCCATCGCTGACGGATTCGCCGCGCCTTGGCAATTCCTCAACTGCATGGTCGCAGTTGAATGCAAACACGTTACGATGCACCGACACAACACATCTGCATATATACACTATAATTACAAGGTATACAACAAGAATATGCAGGACGACGTATTTAAAGACCCAAAAACTTTATTAAAAACAATATTAGATTTTACAAGGTGTAGAGTACAGTTGAAAATACCCCAAAAAAATCAATAAAGAAATTTTTATGCATTGTATCCTGTAACGTAAGAAATAACTTTTTTTATATTAGTGAAGCATTCAGTGCCTCAGCGACTTTTGTTTCATGGAGTACAGATACTCTTTGACAAATCTGTTTCAATGAGAAAGTATATAACTTACATTTGAAGACAAATTGCTTTTAGAGAACCTACTTTGTAGTCCTCATAATCCTCGCTGACAGCAACTATAGATTTCTAATGATCGACGGTAGCGCTTATGGCTGCCAAAGCAATGGCGGCCTGTTCAAGCGGAGCGCCATGGGAGCCAACACGGAGCGTGGCCAGCTGAACCTGATGTGGCCACGCCCACTGCCTGGTACTCAAACACTAGGCATGCACGTCTTCCTGGGGGACGAAGCATTTTAGTTGCGGCCAGATTCATCAGGCCCTACTCTGGAAAATCTAATTTTCATGACAAGACATTTTTTAATTACCGACTTAGTCGGGCAATGTTTGTGCATCAAGTATTGTCACACAGTGCCCCACCATTTGCTGCATTGCACTGATATGTAGAACTTGTAGGGCTCAGTCATTTACACCATTATAATTTTTTAGAAAGTACGAAGACACATACATAAAATTGAAAGAATAAAACACAGAGGACAAGCACAGGACAACCACTGTGTTTTATTCATTAAGGACAGGACAACCACTGTGTTTTATTCTTTCAATTTTATGTATTCATGTTCAACCCGCTCGGCCTTCACCAGTACGAAGACACAATCTGCTGTGTTTTTTTTCTTTCTCAGAGATAGTGTAAATCACAGAGCAAGCACCCGCTCCAAGTTTATAGATCTTGAAATATTGGAGCTCGGTAGTTGGAAGGCTTAAGCACAAACATTTCAAAGGGGCTAACTATAAAGTGGGCTTCACTGCTTTGCACTGGAGTACTTTGAGAAGCGGCTGACAAGGAGGAGCATTTTGGGTAACTGAATGGGCTCAAAATCAAAGGTGCTTGATATGCCATTTTCTTATCTTTCAGACGTTTTCTAAGTAAGTAGAGGGTGTGTGTGTCTTTTTTGTGACATCATTGAAATACATTCGATTGAAGTTGCAGTTTATTTCTAAAATTTGAAATATGATACAAAAAATGAGAGACGTTTACAACTCCCTGTAACGCCGAATTAGAGCGCAGCTCTTGAGGAGTAGGATGGAAGGGTACTGAGCGGAAGGTATTCGCGTCTCCAGCTCGACGCTCGCCCTCCCGCGGCGGAGACGAGAAGCGCTCTAGTGAGGGTCCCCGATTCTCCTGCTCAGCGGGCATGGCGGAACTGCTCGCGATCATGGCTCGCGAAATGTCGTTTCCGAATGCAAACAAGACTCTTCACTGTCCCAAGTTAGTACTGCAGCCGGTACGGGATCGTACCGTACTGGAGAGTTTTAGTATTGCGCATAGAAGCAAACGCAAGCGGTGTGCGTTTGCGTTAGAGTTGCGTGCCCCACGCTGTGCGTGCGCCTCATCGCCATGCGCCATCCAAGACCGCAATTTCGGGCTCCGCGCACGCGCAGTGTGGAACGCGCAAAGCCAACGCAAACACAAAGGGCTTCAGTTCGCTCGTATACGCAATATTAAAACTCACTACTGTTTCACCGGCTTCCAACGCCAACGAAACGTGCTGCAGTGAGCAGACGTGCAAGCAGGTAGGCGTTCCTTCGAACTGGAAAGGTTGAGATTGGCAAAACAACGGCGAGCAAATACAACAGTAAATAAATGTTATGAAAAAACTAATAATTAAAAAAAAAGCTTTTTTTCTTTTTTTTATACTTTTGGGCATTTGGTTTGGAAGTGCAGGGTGTCACAAATGAAAATTTACACAGTCTTTTTTACCACAAAAATAAACTAGGCATCGCCGAACGCGCATTCTCCGCCTAAAGGTAGAGCTAAAGGTCACAACAAGATGCCAAAGTTTCAGCCCGATCCGATAACTCAATCAAAAGTTATAAGTGATTTTCTGAAAAGTTCAATGGTCGACGGAGTTTTCGAACACATGGGGCTCTATGGCACCAGAAACCGAAAACGGGCAAAAATGGGCTTCATTTTCCCATTGAAATTTTCAGAAAATCAGTTATAACTTTTGATTAAGTAATCGGATCGGGCTGAAACTTTGGCATCTGGTTGTGACCTCTAGCTCTACCTTTGGGCGGAGAATGAGCGTTCGGCGATGCCTAGTTTATTGTTGCGGTAAAAAAGACCGTGTAAATTTTCATTTGTGACACCCTGTATATTGCGGCGACTTGGGGCGTTTCGCCGGTTGTCAAAAGTCGCGACTTTGATAGCACAATATACTTTATCCACAATTGATGGAATCTTACATGGATTTCTCACATTAGCTAAAATGTTTTCATTGATTTTAGACTATTTTTATTTTATTTGTAATTAAAATGCAGCAATTGAAACCAGTGATGATAATTAGGACAGTTTTCATTGTCATATATCTTCGCGCGTTTAAAATTAGATCATAAGCAACAAATTATATTAGAACTTGAAGAATTACTTATTCAAATATGTGAATTTTAATATTATTATTATCAATAAAAATCGCGGCAAAATCGCGCCTCCAATTAACGCCAAGATCACGAGAATGCGCTATTTAACAATAATAATCTTTCCAGAAAGGTATAATTCTGTTTTCTTTTTAGCATATCATAAACTCTGACATAGTTATCAAGATAGACAAACAGTCAAACACTGGATGTAATATGAAGTCCTACGCGTCACGCGGTGCTATAAAAACACACACACACTTCAGCTGTCTGACTCGGATTCCGTCTTTGGGTTGTTGCAGTGAGAGCAGCGTCTATTAGTTCGTACGTTTCGTGGACATATTATAAAAATTGGAATTATTCTCTTATTCTTGTGCTGGGATAATTGTCATTATTTCCCATGACAATTATCTGAGCGAGAGAAAGGCAGCGAGAACGCACAAATATCAGCACTGATTTTTTCAACAACTACAAATATCAGCCTGGATCGAACAGTATGTCACAAAATAAAGTTTCCGCGAACAACTTTTCTTAGTAAATAATTACGATGTGAGACACATCTTGAGTCATGGAAGGATTCGAAATTAAGACCTATATCAAGAAATTAAATCCAAAATAGAGGTAAGTTTCGGTTTCATTCCAGAATTAAAACGCGCATCCTTCCGTAAATAATACGCTAAACACCGTTCTTGTTTTCAATTTAAACGGGTAACCTGCGCTCATAAAACATTAGCTTCCTTGTATTACCAGAAATAATTTATGTAGCTCAGTGAAGCCAGCACAATAGACGGGCTCTACAGCGGCACGCATCTCTGACCCTCACTAAACCCGCCATCTTGAAAAATGAGTGGCGCCACCTATAGTTAGTTGGAGTCGCGGATACCCCTCCTCCCTCCTCCTCACTTCGTCATCCTGCCTGCCACTCCTCCAACCTTCCTCCTTGTTTACCTCCTTTCCTCCCTCATTCTTCAACCACCTTCCCCTGTGCCCTCCTCCCGTGTGACGCCCGTGACCTCAGGGGGCCACGTGACGTCAGGGGGGGGGGGTCACCTGACCTCGGGGGGGGGGGGGGGGGCACGTGAC